GGAGGGACTGTACACATCGAGCCTCGCCGCGGGGTCAGGAAAGGTTCCAGCCTGCAGCACCTCGCCTCTGTTACGATGGCAGGGCTGCATTCCTGCACAATCCTGTCCTGTCAGTTATGGTGACTCATGAACCGTGCAATAGCAGGTACGTTTGAAGGAATAAAACGACAGCTACTAGGCACCCCTCAAACCAGACCCCTAAAACCCAGCTGGGGCCTCAATGCACCACCTGCTTTAATGAAGACACGCTCACCTGTGGTGGTCGATGTCGAGGTCAACCGCCCTGCCGTTTGAGAACACGCTGCCGTGCTCAAAGCCGGCCACGGTGATGTCGTGGAAGAAGCGCGTTGAGATGGTGAAGCTGCGAGTCGCAGGGGGTTTAGAGGTGGCGTGTGGGGTAGCTAGCCGAGGGTTTGAGGGCGCAGGGGTTGGGAGATTGTATGCAATGAACCCAACAGGGGTTGACAGGGTGTCAGCCGCAGTGCTTTTGCGCCTGCAAGAAAGGGACCGGCGGGGCTGCAGCCCAGCTGGACCGCGACCCTTCTAGTAAGGCCTGCGACGACGGTCGCTCCACCGCCGACCAAAGACACAAATCGCCCATTGAAGACACCCGAGCAACTTCAGCCCGTCAAGCCCCCTTCAACGCTCACTTGCGGATCAGGCTGTCGCTCCCGTGGTCCAGCCAAATGCCGCGGTGGCCGCTCTCCGGCCCCCTCTCCGCCGGCACCGACGCTAGCACCAGCCCCTCGATCGAGCAGAAGACGCAGCCCCAAAAGTAGACCCCCATGTCGCTGTTTTCGATGGAGACGTCCTTGACCCAGCCGTTGGCCACTTGGTTCAGGTGGATCCCGTTCCAGCCTTGTTCCTGTGGGGATGCGCGGCAGCGAAACAAACGCTTGACGCGACGAGAGCCAGCATGGCGGCCATGCAGATACCCCAAACCTTCCCAGTGACCTTGATGGATCTCATCAGCCATTGGCGCGACCTTGACCGTTTCAATGCAGTGATGGATGCTTGACTGTGCGCCTGCACACATTCTAAAGGCATACATCCCGCCACCTTGAAGTGGCCAGGGAACTGCGTCCAGTTGAATGACACGGTGAGGTCCTGCACCCCAGTGCTTCCGTTCAGCATCGGCATGAACATGTGTACCTCGGGCTTCCAGGCCAGCGTGATCTGGATTAGGGTTCAGGGTTGAAACAGTTGATGTTGCCAGCTGGGTGGAGAGTATGACGTCATGCGTTGTACAGCACATGCCGACCTGCGATGTGCTCGTGCGGAGCAGAGCAAAGGTGCTGCCGCAGCACCGGGGGCCAGGGCGCCGCACCTTGACGGGCAGGGGCCGCTCCAGCCGCAGCCAGGTCTCTCCCATGTCCTCCACGCGCGCCACAAAGCGCACCGCGTCCTTGGTGCCTGCGGTGTTTGTCACCATGTCACAAGCTGACTGTATAGTCTGGATTGCCCCACAGCTTATAATGAAGGTTTTGTGGACCTGCATGCGTGTACATACTTGAATTCCAACAGGTCTCTTGGACTGATGCCTCCCTTCTCCACCCCTACATCCCCCACAACGCGCGCAAACACAGTGCTTACCTGCGAACACGGGCGACGTCGGCGCGCGCCCGCCGCCATGGAGCTCAGCCAGTAGGCTGCTGTCTCCCGGGTCGCTCATCCACAGGCGCACCAGCTGCCCGACGCTGATGCCCTTTGTCGACTCGACGTACACCACGCGCGCCCCCTGGGGTGCGGCCTCCGTAACCCTTGTGATGCGCGTGAAGCTGCGGCCGGTGGGGTCCCAGCCGTTGATGTTGATGAAGCCAGTGCCTGGTGCAAGAGAGTGTGCAGGTGGGTTTGTGTGTGCAATTGGTATCATTGCCATTACTGTGTGCGCACGCATGTGTGTATATGTGTGTATGTGCGCGCGCATATGTGTGTGTTTGTCAGAGTGTGTGTGTGTGTGTGTGTGTGTGTGTGTGTGCATGTGCATGTGCATGTGCAAGGCGTGCATAACAGGAGGGGTCTCGGAGCTACCTTGAGCTGAAAACTTTCAAAGGTTGAATTTTTCAACCCCTCCTTGGGTCTCGGAGCTACCAAGACAACTGTGACTAGAGGACTGATAGCGCCACGTTCTTGTTCCAGTGACGGGGGAACCTCTGTGAGACTCTGCCCACGATCACAGCAGCCCTCACCGTGGCTGTACTGGCTGGTGCCGGGCCAGCTGCCCTCCTGCCACGTGTTGCCGTACAGATCTGTAAGGCTCTTGGGGAACCGGAGGACCGTCCTGCCGGCCCCGGCCCCGCGCAGCACGATGGGCTTGCGCCAGGCCAGGACTGCCGTGATCACATACGTGCCTGGGCACGCCATCAAGGGGAGGGGTGGCAGATGGGGGGCAGCCAGCGGGGTCGGGGAAGGTGCGTGGTCGAAAGGCGAGCAAGCGCAATCGGAGGCCGCCGCACATGACAGGGCACCGCAGCAAGCACCCGCCTGCCTTCCCACGTAGGTGGCTGGGTCCACGAGTCGTGGAAGCAAGCCACTCGCCCGGCCCCGGCATCCCGTCGCCACCCCTGCGCAGCAGCCAACCCCACGCACCCTCTGGTAGGTATATGACGCCTGCAGGGGTCGCCTTGATCGCACGACTCAGCGCGCCCGTGTCGTCGGTCACGCCATCCCCTTTGGCCCCGAAGTCCCTCCGGAGGTCAACCGTGACGGGCAGGTTGGGGATGGGCGCCGCGCCGCCGTCCTCGTAGCCCTGGTAGCCTGCATGGCTCCACTCGTACCCGATGCGGCCGTCGGCGCGCCACAGCTCGCCCTGCTCCCAGGTGGTTGCACAAGAGCATTCGATGGGTGCGTTGCGTCGAGGGCGGTTGCGGAATCTCAAAGTGTCAGCCAGCCTCGCCCCGCTTCACCCGCTTCCGCCAAATGCGGCAGAGCCATGCAATCGCACGCACGTACAACTGGCGAGCAGCGGCGGCGGCGGCGGCACCAAGCCAGGTGAGGTCGGTCGCTTTGCAAGTGACTATGAACAGCACAAGGATGGCCTCAGTGCCCTGCAACTGCCCGCTTTTGGAGCTATTCAGGATTGTGAAAAGGACAAGTATGGCTTCATTGGTTGCCGAGATTTCGGTCTCACCTGGCAGCCAAACAGGTCAGATGGTGTTTTGTACTCTCCAGTCACGCAGGCCGGGCAGGCAGCGCTGACGTCAGCGCCGAAGCAGCACTTGAGATCGTCAGGATCGCAGCCGTAGCCTGGGCCGGAGTGGCGCTTTGGTTGTATCGGCGCTAGAGGCCTACCACGAGCCCTGTGGTTTGTTGGGGTTGGGGCCCCATCAATGGGGGTCCAAATGGGTCGTGACATGATTCCGCACGCTGCATCGGGACAAGAAGTGCGCACAGCAACGGCGCAGAAACCGCGAGCATGGCACTGGTACCACGGCATCTACACCTGCAAAGCCCCGCCCGGACGACCGCCAGCAGGCCCCACCTGCGCTGCGCCTGCCAGAGGTTTGGTGGCCAGACGGGGCCGCTGGTCTCGATCCACCAGTCGTTGCGGTTGCCAGCAGCGCTCGGCGCCTGTGCAATGCATTAAGATTTGATGCATGTGTGCGCACTTGAGCGTGCAATTGAATGGTGACAACCCAGCCAGGCCTAGGATTGCTGGGGCGACAGAGTAATCAGCGGGTGGCTTGCATTGCAATCATGAGTAGCCGCCCTTTGCAGCCGCCCCAAAACAGGCTCCTGGGCCAGCCGTACTCCCAGGCCCAAGGGCTACCGCGGCGCACCCCTTTGCACCCACCATGTTGGCGCCCTCGCAGCCGACCCAGGTGGCCTTTGGCGCCCATCCATTTGGGGGGAGGCCGCCTCCCTGCAGCTGCCCCGCAGACGAGGAGATGCCCCAGAAGGTGTTGTACGCCGCGGCATCCTGCAGCAAGGGGTTGCGAGGGCGACTGTCATTTGATTTCAAGAGAGGACGGGGGGATGACCCGCCGCTCCTGCAACAAGCATTTAGTTTTGGCAGCAGGCAGGCCCCAGCGGCTGTGCTGTGCACTATTTGACGCATGCATGCGCTCTGGGCCGTGATTACGCTTTCCCATCGATTTCCAAAACCAGGCAACTCACCTGGCCGCGCTCGACCCATCCCCAGGGGGCGCTGGCGGCGCCCAGGTGTATGTCGGTGAAGAGGTTGCCGTAAGGCGCAGCAAACATGAGATCGATGGAGACGTCGACACCGGTGCCGCCGGCAAAGCTGCAGCGTCAGTGGATGCAATTCAACAAGGATCGCGGTGGGAGGGGTTGTTGAGGAGCATGAACGTGTTGCTAGGATGGTGGGCAATCAGTGTTGCCTCTGCAGGAGAAGGACTTTGGGAATCTGGCAAGCAGCGTGGCATGGGCATTCCACATTGACAGCAAAAACGCGGACGCCTCAGGAGCACGAAAGGGCCACTTCCAGGGCACGCGCGCGCCAGGGCAGCAACCTGGCGCGCGCATGGCCGCCTGCCCAGTTTCGGCACTCACACGTTTCCGGCCGACATGCTTGACACCGCCAGCTCCTGCGCAAGGTCTGTTTCAAACCTGAATCCCTCCACCAGGCAGTCAAACGCGCCCTGCACAATTGTGAGAACGCCCAGGAATCTTCAGATCTGTGATCCTGTCACTGGACTGGGTTCAAGCGCCAGAAGGCGGGTCGTCTGAGCTGGCGCTTATGTGTGGGAGGCCTCCGTGGCGCTTAATGCGCAGCAGATGGCCTCATCTTTGACCTGCAGCACCCAAGGGCACAGCAGTCAAAGATTCTTGGGGCTCCCCCTTGGTGGGCATCTTCCGCACACGCCTCACCCACCTTCAGCCAGATGCCTTTGGCGCCCGTGTAGGGGTGCGCCCCGCTGCTGCGCGGGCGAGAGCTGGTGAAGGTGACGTTGCTGACAGTGACAAAGCTGGTGGTGTCAAGGATGACCCCGATCTCTGCGTTCTCAAACACGACGTTGCTGATCTGGAGGGTTTGGATTGTGATGTGACCCATGATTAGTGGGCGGGAAGCGTGGACGAGCGCGGTGGTTGTTGAAGTAGAGTGACAGAGCTGTTTGACGTGCAGACTCATGCAGCGTCGCTACACGTGCTGCGTGCAGCTGTGCTGCAAAGACAATGACACGCAGCAAACGCAAACCACGCAGACGCCATGCCGCGTTTTTCGGCAAGCGCTTTTTCCTCCGGCGCCACGCAGCGCGCCTCACCCAGCTGTGCGCCACGTGCCACATGTAGATCGCATTGTATCCAACCTCGCGATTTTCTCCGCCATAGGGCTTGTCGCCGGGGAACCTGAAAGACAGCAGCAATGCCCTTTTCTCAGCAAGATGCACTAGTGGGGGCAGCAACACGGCTGCGCAGGCCCTGGCAGACATGACCGGCCGGGCGCGGTGGCCAGGCGTCCTGCACCTCTGTGACGCCCAGCAGCAGTTGTGTGGTCACCTGATCGTCAGGTCTGACAGCCCTGTGTGGTTGCGCCTCACTCCGCAGCAGCCGTTGGCCCACTCTGTTGCGGAGGCAGGTGGCGAGCGGGCGCGTGATCGCGCCGTGCTAAGTCTGCTGGTGGCGTGCCAGCTGGCAGCTGAGCAGGGGAAGCTGCTGCAGGACCGGTCCGTCTGCAGCGATGCTCACCATGGATGGTAGGGCGCCACAGCAGCGAGACGTCGTAGGGCAGAGCGCGTTCCAGCCGGATCCTGCAAAGGCGAATGAGATGAAAGACAGGCATGCATCTCATCAGGCCAACTTCTGGCACTTCCAGGTCCAGGCGCTCTTGGTAGGCGTCCCCGCTCTGCTCTGCCTACGACGCAAGCGGCACATCCGGCGCTCCGCTTGCAAAAAGCGAAATTTGCCGGGCCAGACGAGTGCGCGTGAAGGCAGCAACAGCCCCACCTCTTTGGATGCGTCATGACCTCCGCCACGCGCGCCGTGAACCTCAGGAAGGCTTCCTTGTCACTGTATGCGCCGCTCGGGGCCTCCAGCCGCGCGTTGAGCTCTCGAAGGGCGTCGCCCTTCACATTGTCCGCCACAAGACGCACCACCTGGTGGAAAGGCAAAATCGGAGGGCTTGGGGCGGGGCCGTGGGGAGGGTTGAGGGCGCCGAGCAGGAGTAGCTGGCTGCGTCGCGGTGCTGTTGGCGACTTGGGCAGGCCGAGTGGTGCTTTCAGTGCTTGGCGCTTTAGATGGTTGGGGACCTTGCGTTGGTGCTAACCAATCTTTGCATAAGAAGGCAGATGCAGCATTCTCGCATGCAGGCGCTGAGTCGCTTCCGCCCACCTTGCCGACGTGCAGCCCTTGCAGCGTGCTGACATGCAGCACGGTGTCACCCCGCTGAGCTGGCGCGGTGACGTCGGCCACGTGGGTGCGCCTCTCCGGGAAGTCCCCGCCTGACAAGCGCAAATTGGCAAGGTTGTATTTATGTTCTGAGCAATTGGTGTCGACGGCAATTTCGGCAAGCAAAGCTTCAGTAGCAGGGTGGTTTGTGGCCCTTCACGCCAGCACGTTTGTGAGTGAGCAGCTGAGTTCGGCTGTCGGGGGCTGCACAGAGCAAAAGTGTCCAGCAAGTCACCGCCGCTGGATCTCACCACTCCAGCTGAGCCAGCCAGGTCCAAAAGCATACTGTGGGGCCAGCAGCGGGAGCGCAGCATAAGCAGCGACATTCACCGACAGCAGGTAATCTGAGTGCAGCGCCATCGATTGATGCCAACGAAATGCTCACGGTCGATGTCAGCAATTATGCACTCACAAACCCGGTAAGCCACCAGCGGTTGAATAGCCGCCGCCGCGCATGTGGCATTCAACGCTCCTGCCCCCAAAACCAACACCAATTTCTTACAGCAGGGAAGCCTGGATTCTGGCAGCTAGGACCAGGCATCCGTCTTGTTATGCCCCAGAACACCGTCCCCATATGCGGCAGCCGCGCACCTGGGATTTGCTGGTTGATGCCTCCTTGCCTTTGGCAAACCCGTACACCTCTGACAGGGCTTTTGGGAAGGACAGCACAGTGCGGCCTGCGCCCTCCCCTTGCAGGAACACCTGACGTAGCAGCAGAGGGGCAGCACAGGGACGGAGCAGCGGCGCGCTCAGGTGATCCTCCGAGCAGCAGGCGCGCGAGCGAGTGAGACAATACAGCTGAACAGCAGGGGACCTGCAGCTCCAAGTCAAGGGGCAGTCGCGCGACTGCAGAGCGTGCGGTGGCACTGCGGTGCTGCTGTTGCAGTAGTGCGGCAGGTGCACGCGCCTCACCAACTTGGTGATGTCCAGCCTCTGCCATGAAAATACGAGGCGGAATTGGGACGGCGAGCACGCAGCTGTGAGGCTAAGAAGCAATAGGCAACGTTGTGTGTATTTAACCCTGCGTGTGAGCATGCGCACACACACATATGCACACACACACACACATGCACACACACACACACACGCGCTATGTAGAGGTCAAACGTGCACAATGCACAAGCATTCGCTAAGCCACTCAGAGGTTCCCTCCGACGCACCCGCGTGATGACATAGGTGCCTGCTGGCACCAGCAGGGTGCCCCGGGACTCTATCGTCTTGAGCGCGACCTCGAAGGCCGCGGTGTCGTCCGCCACGCCGTCGCCCACCGCCCCGAAAAACTTGACGCTGGCCAGCGGTGTCGGCTTGGGGGGATCGTAATCGCCGTACCTTCAAAGCGTGCAGCATGGCGCGCCACCACCATGTGTGCATGGGTCCAGGGAGAAATGGTCAGTGGGGATTCAGGGTGCGGCACAAGGAGCAGCTGTGCTTGCACAAGTTCAGCAACCAATAGTCCAAGGGCACTGCTCCAGGCACAGCGAGATGCAGACCTGGAAATATGTGATACAATGTTTAAATCCGAGCGCAGGGCGCGTGGGCTCACATGTACCCCGCATAGGACCAGTCAAACAGGCGGCTCTTCTTTGCGTTGAAGAGCTCCCCCCTGCACCCGTAAAGCATCGACGCGCCTGCGAGGCCAGATTTTGCGGCAGGTGGCGCCATCGCATGGAAGCTGCTCGCATAGCTTCCAACAGCTGCAACGCTCAGGCTTTCTGGGTGACGGCAAAGGTCAATAGTCGGCAGCCCTGCTGGCTGATTCATTCACAGATCATGCATGCTGCCGGCCATCACTTGCCACCATGCATCCCACGCCAGATCACTCACTGGGGCTGCCGCTGGGGCAGGGCACGCAGCCAGCCCACGTGCGCTGCCCCTGAAAGCAGCATTTTGTTGAGTTGTCGACCGCACAGCCGTAGTCCGCCTTCACCACAGGCACTGTTTTGAACACTGATTTTGGCTGCTGGGGCTTTTGGGCCCGTGATGGCGGTGTCGTCGAGGCTGGCGGCTTCGTGGGCGTTGCGGCTGCAGCGCCGCTGTTGTTGCCTGCAGCGGGTCCGCTGACATGTGGCGCCGCTGCATCGACACTGCTCCCAAACGCACGCGGTTTTGCATTAACTCCGCCAGCTAGCGTTGAGTTATTTCCAGCCACCCCGTTCAGGGCCCCGGACGCCGTGCCACCACCTGCGTCGCCGCCGGGCTGTGATGCTGGCGGGTGGTGGTCGGGGACGTTGCGGGGCGCTGCCGCGCTGCTGCCTGCTGCAGCGCCAATTGGCGTAGCATTGGCTGCAGCAGGGGCATCCAGGCCAAGGGCAGCTACCGCTCCCCTTGAACCTGTAGCGTTCTCTGGCCGGGGCGCAGCGCCCGGAACCGTGGGGGCCACCAGGGCTACGCCAGCGCCGCTTGCAATGGCGTTGACTGCCGCGTTCACCAGTGCCTCTACAGCAATGCTGGCACCCAGTCCCAGCACCTTGGTCTCCACAGCGTTCTCCTCCCCTGGAATTGTGTAAGCGCCGCGCAGCTGCCCGTTTGCGGCAGAGACTTCGCACCTTGAATCGGCCGCCTCGCCATCACAGCTGATGAGCCGTGCTGCTTGAAAGCGCGGTGCGGCGATATACATGCGCACGCTCACACCTGAAGGGTTGTCGTCTAGCAGCGCGGGCTCTTTGGGGTGCCAAATCAGCTCCGCGCTCGTTGGTTCAACGGCCGCTGTCGCAAGCAGGTTGTCGACAGATGGTGCAGCTGCTGCAGCGGTTGGGCCGGCCACGCCGGGTGCGGCAAGCGCAGCAACCGTCATCAGCGCCAGTAATAATACCACGAATGCACTAGCCACGGCCCCATGCGGCCGGGCGACCGTCCACATTGATGGGGCACTCGCAGATCGCTGAGTCAAATAGGCCAGATCCGCTTAAATGGGTGTGAGGTTCATTAAAAATATGTATGACAGTTCACTTGTGTCAGGTCCTTCTTGCGCTGCCTGCCTTTTTGTGAGCGACAAAGTTGGTTGCCGACTGAGGTGAACATCCGTGCCCAGGCCACGTCATGGGGGTGATGTGCCTTGGGTCGAGGCGCATGCGGACGAACATGACCACACATGAACTCCCATTTCACGCAAGAGAGAGGTGATTCCATGGAATCACATCTGTCTGCTGCAAGACAGCGTAGCCGTATGCTGCAAGACAGCATGGGGCCTGGCTTTGACATTTCAGGCTCGGTGGGTGAATTGGTGCGCAGGGCTGGTCCAGGCACGTGCTCAGCACATCAAGCGCAAGATACCCTCAATATGATGGTGACACTACAATTCACAACAACCACTGCATGCGACTATGCTCGTACAGGACGCTCTGTTACAGCGCAGACGATTCTCCCCACCCCAGACCCAACAACCTTTGCAAGTGTTGTGCAATTTGTATACATAATAAGAATGACCGTTGTTGAAGCATCTGTTTGTGAAATGTCAACAAACAATTAAACACCATGAGGCAAGGATAACCTCCAATGCTCACACCCCCAAGCGCCTCTGCTCCCCGACTGCCCCGCACTTGAACACGGCGGCCCCCGCGAGCCCGTTTGCCCGCAGCAGGCACCCCTGCAGCACCACTGCCCCCGCGTCCGCCGCGGCGATGCCCAGGCTGTCAGCCACGCAGGCCGCCGCCAGGCTGAATTCGCGCATGGGCGGGGCCACCTCTTTTGACAGCAAAACGAAGGCGTTGACGTACGTGGCACCCCCGAGCAAGCCAGCAGTGAAGCAGAGAGCTATGAGGCCCCAGTTGTACCACCTAGGTTGAGGCGGGTGATGCACAGCAGGTAAGCGGTGTCTGTAGGTGAATGGCTGGATGAAAGAAGAAAACTTTTGTTTGGTTGGAGATCACAGAGCAGGCACGAGACTGAATCTACCCACCAGCTGTTATCATTAGTGTGCGTGCCCCACCGCCCCCTGGCAGCTCTGACGCAAAAGATTTGTGTACTTGAAACCTGCAAGCAACCCGCCCCCGCGCACCAGTGCAGCGCCGCGTCTGCGGTGAAGAAGGCCAGCAGGACGCACTGCAGCGCCGGCATGAGCCACAGGCCGCGCCGGCCGACGGGCAGCAGCGTCCCCGAGGAGCGCGATATGAAGACGGCCGCCTGGTAGGACCAGTTTGCATACAAATAAAAGGAGTGGCGCGCCTCCTCAGACTCGACTGGAAAGCCTGCGGCAAGGCAATTTTAGGGCAGGGTTCAGGGTTTAGGGGCGTAATGGTGCACGCTGTGGGGAGCAGGCGGGGGCCGACCACGCGCCGTGCGGTCGAAAAAGCAGCCGGTTGCAGGGAGGGATGGTGGGGGCTTAGCGCAGATGCAACAGTCACTTTGCACGGGCGGTTTTCAGTTGTCAGCCAGACGCTGCGGGTGGCAGGGCGGTCAGAGTCCCAGCCCAAAGCCTCACCCATGGCCGACCAAACGCCGCTCTGCATGGAGTACTCTGCGATGCAGGCCATGGCATGATCAGCAGCAAGGTTTAGAGTGCAGGGTGTTCTGACTGTGAGGAGGCGCTTCAGCTCACCCCTGCCGTCAATGCACCGGCCGTCTTCCCTGGCTGTGTTCCTGCAGGCGCCTCGCCTGAGAAGCCCCCCCGTCTCAAGGCTTTCGCTCGCTGCTTGCAGAGCGCAATTCGTGATGCCACGCTGCCCGTGTAGCACGCTGATCATGGCGCCCGCCCGCGCAATCAGCTGGTCTGGCCAAGCAAAAGCAGCCACTCCAAGCAGGCCAGCAAGCACCCGTGCCCTTCTCCAGCACAGCCAGGCAGCCGACCGGCCCCCCATGCACCTGCCCAGTACACGATGAACAGCGGCACCGTGTAGGGCCACAGCCGCAGCGTCGCGGCAAATCGCTGCCGCCGAGTCATGGCGCAAGGGTCCACGCATTGATCATCGACGCAGTCCTCTCCGCCCCTGCCGCCGTCCCCTGCGGAGTCGAGACCGGCGCCGCCGCCCGGCCGCCGCAGAATGGGGATCGTCTCCGATCCCTCACCCGCGGCGGCGGTCGCACGGAGGCCCGGCGGCTGCGCCGCGGCCGCCGCCGGTGAGCGGGGGGGCGTCTGCGCCGCCGTCGCCGTTGCCGAACGGTCGCTGCGCGGGCCGCCGGGCTCTGGTCTCAACCTGCTCCTGGCCTCAAAGCGCCACACGGAGACCGCCGGCCCCGGCACGTCGTCCTTTCGTGGCGAATGACCTACCAATGCGCACGGAATCGAGGGCGGGACTGTGCTAGCCTGAAGGGATCCCGCCAGCAGGACCGGCAGCACGCCACAATCTCAGGTCATGGCAGCAAGAGGCAGTCGGACGGGGGGCGAGAGTCCATGCAGACAGCACCACACCCAAAACGCTCGACCTCTGTCGCGCCATCAAAGCCTGCGCCTGCCAATCAGCTCACCTGCTGTGCTCGTCGCCACCCGTTCGTACTCAACCGGCTCCCGCCCTGCGCTTTCCCCCCCTCCCCCGCCGCC